CGGGCCAGCTGCTTGGCCTCGTCCCCCGCGGCGCGCCCCTCGTGGCCGTGGCCGTCCTTCTCGGGCAGGTGGCCCTCCTTCGCCTTGTGCTCGTCGGCGGCCAGGTCCTTGCGGGCCTCGCCGTGGTCCCGCGGCTCCCGCTCTTTGGGCTTGTCTTTCTCGCGGGCCTCAGTGTTCAAATGACCCCGGATCTGTTCGGTGGCGCTGCGGCCGTGTCCCAGGCTGCTCACCGGGAGGACGGGTGCTGGTGACGGGTGGCTGGGGTGTCTCTTCTCGACGCTTTCCCTGAGGGGAGACAGGGAGAGAGACACACACACCAGGGAGCGGGTGAGGGGGCGTCGGCCTGCAGGGGGCGCCGATGAGCTGGTGGCGTGAAAGGCGCGTGCGTGCGTGCGTGTGCGTGCGTGCCTCGGGACCAGGTGCTGCCACCTAGGGCCTCAGATGCCGCCCTAGCAGGGCAAGACCAGCCGCCCCGGCCGGACTCACCGGGATGTCCCATTGTGCCCGCCTAAGGGGTGTCGCCCTGGGCATGTGGGGAATAGGAGACCCTCGCTGAGGGGGACAACGGCTCTCTGGCTTCTAAGAGTCACCTGCCTCAAGCAGGACCGCCGCGGAAGAGTCTGGAACGTCAAAACCGGAAGTGGGCTGACGCTGGCCAACAAGTCCACCAGGCCCGCTGGGCTCGGTTCTCCGGGCCACTGTCTGGAGGAGAGCGGCTGAGGCGCGCGCGCGCGCGCGCGCACACACACACACACACACACACACACACACACATCACATCACAGCCAGCGGGGCACGGAGTGTGGCACAAATCTCAAGAGCTTCCTGCTATGCGACGGACACACGGGCTTAGATGGCCTGCCACAGAGAAAGAAGGCGGACAGGGCCCAAGATGCGACTCGCGAAGGAGAGGTCCTGAAGAAACCCAGCCTTTCACAACACCCGGGGACACAAGATCCTGTGGCCTCCGGAAGGACATGCGAGTCTCACGGGTGGAAAGCGAGCAGAGATGAGGGGGAGCGTGACAGACGGGGCAATTGTTCAGGGCATCCGAGTGGGGCAATGTGGAAGACAGCGGCGAGGGGCCTCTCCTGGCCGGGGTTGAAGAGGACCAGGAAGAACAGCCGAATGGAAGGACGGGGAAACTGAGTCTGCGAGAGGAAGCAGGCTGGCCCTGGGGGGGTCACCCTGGCCCAGGATCTGCGGGCGAGGACAGCCTCCTTAGGAGAATAGAACTTGCTTCCCCAGACATTGTGTGTCCGGGCAACATAACCTGCGAAGGCCAGACAAGGCGCTCAGTGCTTTTGAAGGTAGGGAAAGCTGCTGCCTGCATTTTCTAGTTGTTTCCTGGCTTTGAGCCAGAAAACCATTTTGAAGCATCAAGAAAAGTGGGGGAAGTTTTGCCACCACCTGGGGCTTTCTCTCCAGTGACAGATGGTCTAAAAGGGACTGGCGGGCTCCCGTCTGTCCACCTGATGGCAGCAGGTGACAGCTCAGGCTGAGTGTTTGAATGATCTTCCCACTGGTCAGGGCATTTATAATAACCCAGGCTTCCCCCCAAAAAAGGGGGCATCTTTTTCCCTAAGCAAGGAATCTGCTTAAGAAGATAGCTGATAATGAACAGCTAGTGACATGCTGCGCCCCAACCCTACACAGCAAACACACACACCACACACACCCATGCATAGCAAAGACAAATTCGAGGAAATGCTCATTACTTCTCTAGCCTAAGAACTGAAAGGAGATTGTAATCAGGTATTGTCTTTAGAGTTCCTGGATGATACAAATGGTTAAGGGGCTCAGGGTTGGAGGGTTGTGTCCACCCAGCAGAAGTAAGGCCTGGCAATCTACTTTGGGAATAATCTCAGCCATCGAAAACCATAAGGAGTAGGTTTTACCCTGAAACAGAATAGGTTGTCATGGGTTGGAATAAAGTCAAGGGCAACCTGTTTTGGTTTTTGGAGTAGGGGAGGCGTACTTTACACTTTGCTTATCCATTTGTGTACACACCCCACACACACCGAACACAATAACAATATGAAACAACAGCGTGCTCCTCTAAGAAAACAACAAACTAAATCTATGAAGGTATTCCCCTTTTAAGGTTACCTCGTTTTTCGGCCCGGGTTGACCAAGTAAAGCGTTAAAAATGGTTAGTAACATTACCCACCAGCCAAACTAAATGAAACACAGGAAAACCAACCCCCTCACTTGTTGACGTTTCTCTACAGTTAGATGAGTCGTAACACATACAATGATTATCAGTTGTCTGTGAGCCCCAAGACGGGAGCTTGAACACAATTTGAGGAAAAATTATGATGAGGCCATGCAGACATGACTTTTCTAGAACAAAACAAAACAAAAACGAAAGCGAGAGGAGAAACCTGTGGATGAGGCATGGACTACACGAACTGGAAAAGCAAATATGGCGTTGATTCATGCTGTGTGTGTTGGGGCCAAGGCTCGAACTCACTAGCTCTCAGACAAAGTCTGCTAGCGGGACATGCTAGTGGGCCTTCTCCCTGTTGAACTGCCTTGGGTCAGGAATAGGATCTTTGTCTGTTCGTGTCCTACGGCAGAGAGGCAATGGGGGGCCGGGGAGGGCTTGGGGTTGGCCGAGGTCTAGCTGTGGGAAGGCGCTGCGGCCACGGGTCATCAGAGGCTCAAGGCTGGGGCAGGGAGGGTGGCTGGCCGGTCCCCGGTGGTGCGTGGTACGGAGTGGGGCGCCCCCATGGGGTCTCGAGAGCAGTTGCTTTTCGTACCTTTCTTTGTCATCCTTACTAACGGAGGAGGAGTCTCGTTTATCTACATCTCTATCTCTGTCATGAGCTGCAGCAGACGCGCTGCGCTCCAGCTCCCCCGGCTTCAGCCAGGGCGGAGGGGTCGGGAACGACGGAGGTGTTCGGTGCAGCCGGTTCCAGGGCTCGTGAGGGTTGCTAAAGTTCTGCACACTGGGGCCATCCTTGTGGCCGAACATTGAGTTGGGTGCTGAAATGGTGAAGTGGAGAACAAAAAAGGTTTCAGAGAAATCAGAGAACCTGCTGGAATGAAGGTACTTACCAAAAAACGCTTAACAGCACTCACAGTTAAAATGAATACATATTATTGGGAGCTGGAAAAGGAGAGATTAACACATTCATTAGAGGAACTCTGTCCTAGCTGGAAGAGGTAAGCGCACAGCTTTTAAACTTATTTTTTCTTTTTAAAACCCAAGGCGAAGGGTAAGAGTGTGTGTGGGGTGGGGAGGGAGGGGATTACCTAGGAAAGGGGCCACCGAGATGCCAGCGTGACCCAATCCAATATGGCGGAACAGCCTGCAGAGGGCTTTTGGAGTGTGGCACAAGGTGGACTTCTCAGCCATCCTTTCCCACCCATCCCCCAAGGTCACCCTGACTCACAGCCACCCTGTCGGAAAGAGCAGAATGGAAGTGCCCTGCTGGGCTTCTAAGACTGTACACCTTTAAAAGAAGATGCTTGTCTCATCTTTGTCCTGTGGAGCAGCTGGTGAGTCAGAACAGGCAACCTTTCTGTTAACAGCCTCATGTTTAGCCAGTGGTGCCACCAGGGCTCTCCCTTACCTACTGTAGTACTGGGAATAGGAATGCTACTCCCAGTAGCATTCAGCGCATGAAAGCAAATGCTACTGGACACCAGGCAGGCCCAGTGAGACCTAGGCAGGTGCATGTGGTCTCCAGGCAGCAATTTAAATAAAGATGGAATTGTGTTAACATCTGCGGTGGCGCTTTGTTAGGCCCCCTGATCATCCACAGCAGGAGGGAAGACAAGTGGATTACCAACTGACCCACACAATAGGCCAGAGTGTTACGCTTTTCTTACTAGAGATCACCTTTTATCTTAATAGGAAACCACACGGTCCTAGATTCTTGCAAAGACACAGTGTTCTCCCTAGTAAATAAACAGACCAAAGAACCAAACTCATTGAGTCGATTCTGACTCATAGCAACTCATATGACAGGATAGAAATGCCCCTGTGGGTTTCTGATATGGTAACTCTAACGGGAGTAGGAAGGTCTGTCTTTCAATAACATGATGAAAGTGTGCCAACTCTTGGCTACCCTAGCTCAGGGAGCTTTTTCACTTCCACTCAGGCAAAAAAAAAAAAAAAAAAATCACTGTTGTGAAGATTCGGACACACAGCAACCCTGTAGGACAGAGTCCACCTGTTCCTGTGTATTCCTGAGACCGTTGAGTCTACAGGAATAGACGAAGATCATCTTTCTGCCATGGAGCGGCTGGTCGTTTCCAACTGCTGACCTTGCAGTTAGCAGTCTAGTTTGTAACCCACTACGCCATCAGGGCTCCAACTTGGGGCAAAGGAAATATTAAATGAATAATAATTAAAAAAAGGTCTCCACTTCTTCACTTCTAAGGGTGTTGTATCCACAGTCGTGGCTGGTTGATATGGCTGCTGGCTGAAATGACAGATGTAAGGAAACCAACCACAGGACTATTCCTGACTCAGCAGGAGGAGCTAGTCTTCCCATGGTGACTTTGCTCTCAACCCTGTGTCTACCCAACCCCATGGTTCAACCCCAAGGTCCTGAGTCACAGATCACAGGTGATAGATACACAATTCAAGGCAGAGCATAAGAAGTTAGAGGCACTCACTAACTGAAGGATTTCCAAGTCCCCCGAAGGCATTGCCACCAACTGCTGCCAGGCCTGTAAACGTCGATGGCCGATTAAAAGGCTCTGAAACGGGAAGGAGGAAGTGGTTACTGGATTCCACGGAGTGAGGTTTCCAGGGTCTCCTGAAGCTGGGAGACCAATGATCCTTACCCCTTCTCCACAGCTGGAATCGGCCCCGCTGCTCCTACCAGGACTCCTGTAAAACGCTTTCAAGGCGCAAGGACTCTGGTATTTCCCACGATTAAAAAATACTTCTTGGGGTGATTCTTCTACTACAGTGCTTCTGATGCCATTTCTCTTGCCCCGGGGATGGGGGGAACAGCCATGACCTACACTCCAATGTGCTAAGTTTTCCTCTAGCCTGCTCTTCCCTCTGCAATAGGTTTCAAAGCCTCTGAGGACCCATGTCTGAAAACAGCTTTGTTCTCAATGAGGAAGGTTCTGAAGGCTAAAATAATCTGCTTCTCCTCTCCCCTGTTGCAGGGCACACTAATGCCTGGACCTGCCGGAGTGCGCCCTCCAAAGATCAAACCAACAGACACAGGCAGGAAAACATACACTCCTCTATCACAAGAGATCGAGGAACGGGGCAACGCAAAGCAGTGCAAGCAAAACCGAAGATGGACCCTGTCTTTTGTCTTTTACCATCTTGCCTTCTCACCTCCTACAGGTGACTCCAGCGAGGGGCAAGGGGTCACTATCTTTCTCCCATAGCCAGGAGGCAGGTTGGGATAAATCGGAGTAAACCCTGAGTGACTTCAGACAGAAACCTTCCCAGGGACACATCGTCCTGCAAGGGACGGCGTGAATGAGAACTCCTCGGAGAACCACTGTGTCCCAGGAGTCTAAGGTTTTCTCTACCACGCATGTGTGGCGCAGTGGAATTTCTTCTGATGGCTTTGTAACTCCCACCAAATGACTGGGTGGGCCTATGCAACTAGGGGGTGCATAACACCAATAGAGGGGATTGGTCAGTGTTCGTTACCCCTCCACCCCCTGGGCCACAAGGGTGAGGCACGTTGGAAGCAGGAACAGAGAGAAATCCCAGGAACACGGGAAGAGCACGGTACGGATTTCTATCTGAAGGGGTGGAGACTGAGAGCAGAGCCACCAGAGACCGGGGACAGAGCGAGAGGATAAGCATGGAGACTATGGGACCGTGAGGTGGAGCGACAGGTGGGCTTCCTGGTCCATGGAGGAGAGGCCAAGGGACCACGTGGTTGAGAAGCTGAGGATGAGGGAAGAGGAGACATGCTGCTGTGGACCAATGGCCCTATCCTTACTGTTTCCCAAACTTGACTTGCAGTAACCCCTTAACTTCCCTAGCAAACCCCCATAATTAGCAAGGATTGGTTTTGAGGTCTGGGTGGCCACTTCCCAAATTAACGCACTCAGCACGGAAGTAGAGTGCCGTGGGAAGAAGGCTTGGTGGCAACATACGGTAAAGGAGGGTGGAGTGTGGATGCAAGCCTGCCTCCTGGCAATAGGGAATTCAGAGGTCAGATGTGGCCCCCATGCTCTTTGCTGAGTGAATGTAGGGTCACTCACCGAGGTGGGCAGTAGGGTTAAGAAAGTTGCTATGATGAGGTGGTGGCCCAAAAGGGGTCCCAGTTGGGTGTGCAGCACCTGTGAAATCAAAGAAAACAAAGTAAGATTTCATAGGGTGCCAATGGTGACAGCGCAGTTGGTCACTGGTTCCTCTGGGGAGAAAAATATGTTAAAGTCAGGACAGAAATGAGGGCCACCCGGGCTTACAGACAACACACTGGGGTGCAAATGTCCTTGTGAAAAAGGCAGATTGTAAATCATCTCACCCGCCCTCTAGGTCCTACAACGGCCAATGTCAAAGACAGCTCATTCGTTTAAAAGAGGCTGACATACCGTATTGGAAACATCACCATAGTGTCGGCAGAGAGGGGACGTTTTCCATAACTAAGACCCTTTGGGGGAAGATGGTGTGCAGCAAGGCTGTATCAAAGGATTTCTTGGAGCCATTCCCAGGACTCCATGGCCTGTTCATTCCTTAAGCGGACCCTTGGATGCGTGCTGTTCTGGAGCATCTACAAGTTTTTCTCGCCCTGGGCTTGGGAGTGGCCGACAGGACACTGTCGCTGACTGAAATGCTTTGGCCTCTTGCTCAATCCCTTTCATGTCATGGACCCATATGGGAAGACACACGACTCAGCCCATGAAGCACACCCTGGTTAATAAAGGTGTGAAAAAATAAGATGGCACCTTCTAATTTCTTTCGATGTTCAGTGCTAGAAAATGCTAGCTTCTTCACATTTTCTTCCGGACTCCATAAATCTTGCCACTACACGGTCTTTCTTTGCCTAACTAGGGAACTTGGGCTAAACATCCTTGGCTTTCTTCCCATTAGCTTCCTTCTTCTCTCTTCTCCTGGTGGCCTATGATTTGAGCTGCTACCCACACGATCAGTGGTTCAAACCCACTAGCTGTTCCAAGGGAGAAAGACTGAAAGATCTTAAAGACTGAAAGTCTTAAAGAAAAGTCTAAGAAGCCCACGGGGGCAGTTCTACCCTGTCCTAGAGGCTTGTTAGGAGCCAGAATCAATCAGTAGCAGTGGATCGTTTTGCTGTCTCCTTTCCTCTGCCTTTGTTCAGACAAGAGCTCCGCCAAAGTCCTCTGAAGAAGATTCTTCATCTCCTTCTAGGCATTTGCACCCAGCAATAAGAGGAAAGTGGCCGAATGCACGCAGCACGGGCAAATGAGAAGACCACTCCAACCTCTCATCAAATAACTAGCTGGGGCCACATCCCACCTTGCTTCTATTAAAAGAGATGATGTTCCAGAGTGGGAACACCAACAGGGCCTGAGTTAATGAGAGTACTACCAACAGTTCCCCCGCCTTTGCAGTTGGTCTGCACATCTGTCAACAGACGCAGCTCTCCTTGGTGACATTGATTAAGTGTAGGAAGGCCGTCCCTCCCGGCATCCTACTCAAACTCCACTTCTGTTGGAGATCACTCTTCCCCTGTGCCTGGCTTTCCTGAGGGCCAAGCATCCTCGTACACCACCACGCAGGGCAACCTGGGCACCGAACGTTGAGAACAGCTGCCACGGAGCCCTAGCTGAGCCTCAGAACTTGGGTGGTTCTCTTATGTTGCCCTCGCTGGGAAGTGCAGAACGACCACTCATGGCCACCGAGCAAACAGAGCCCGGAATATTCATTAGGCATTAACGGGGGTGCCAGCTAAATATAAAATTTGGCCACATCCCGTCTGTGTGGTGCAAACTAATAAGTGTTTCAGTGAAGACCAGCACCTCGCGCTGCCTGAGGTCCCCGGTGCCTGGCAGTTCCAGGACTACTAAAGCCAAAAGGAGCGACTCCTCTGCGTGGTAAAAATGCTCTTCATGTGGCCTGCTGATGGGATGTGAAAGGGCTTTTCCCCAGGTTGTCTCCTCCAAATACATGCCAAACCTAAGACGCTGCTTGCCACGTGTGATAAGTGGCTATACACCTGGAGGTCAATGCAAGCTGCTCAGAGGTTATTCTCTCTAAGGGTGATCAGCCATCGAGAGCAATCCGACTGCCCAGTCTGTCCCACCCTGAGGGCCCACTCCCTTCCGATAAGGATAGTAAATTGTTTCCCTGAAGGAACCCAGGGAGGTCAAGCCCACTCAAGGGTGACCAACGTTAGGCTGCCATCTTGAGTCTAGGGTCTGCCCATCT